TGAGGTTAACTTGCTCCCGCAGGCCTGAAACGCCAGCCGTTTTACTGCCGCTCGCTGGTGGTAACGCACACACATCGTCTCAAGGCGAATCTGCTCCTGTTGTCTCTCGCGATACGGACTGTTTGCCCCTTGGACGGGAGTTTTCCCGAGGTTAATGAACGCTGTTGCGAAGCTTTATGTGCATTTCCAGACTGAAATCATTTTCCAAAGCCACCGCATGTAATTGAACTCTTTGAGAGGCGACACGCTTCTGTGATTCTGCACTGGGTCTCGGCATATCTGATCAAGTTTATTCTGGAAAAAAATCGATCACTTTTAGACAGGAGTGTGTGTCGACTTTGAGATCAGAATTTATCTGCATTCAAAAAATAATATGTAGGGATTAATTCACAGAGATAATTGTCCTCTGGCAATATGTAAAGCTGCTGTGCAGTGTTGTAGTCGAGACCACCTCACTCGAGTCCGAGTCGACACCGCGACCAGAGAGAGTCGAGTCCGAGTCAAGACCGAGTCCATAGAGAGTCGAGTCCGAGTCGAGACCGAGACCAGTGAGGGTTGATTACCTAATTTACTTTTATTTACTTAGAGAATTTTTTTTTTACTGAATTTACTTAGAGTTTAAAAAATATGATCAGTTTAGGGTAAAAAGGCCACATAGTAGGTGGTGTTAAAAGTAATTTTATTACAATTTGTCATGCGCAGTTGCGCACTAGAAAATCACCAATCACTGGCCGTGTCAATCAATTTAAAGAAATATTTTATTAACATACATTAATAATCATGAAAAATATTTTGAATTGAACTCGAGTGGACTCGGGAATAAGTCCGAGTACTAAAAAAAAAAATGTTCGAGTACGAGTCAATTCCGAGTCCAAATGGACACGAGTCCATGACAAGACCAAGACCATTAAAATATGGACTCGAGACCGAGTCCGAGACAAGTCCGAGTCTCGAGTACTACAACACTGGCTGCTGTGTTTGAGCTCTAGAGCAGGTTTTCCAGCATGAATGTTGATTATTTTCCTCATATTCTCCATTGTTGCGGCTCCTCTTTTCCCAGTCTGTCAGTAACACTCTTGTTTTCATGACATGTGGACTCAATAAATCCTGATCTTGAGCAGAATAGTCAAGCTGACATTCATTCAGTACAAAAACTTCTGTGAAACCTGGTAACCTGGAAATACTCATGGAAAAAAGTGATAATAAAGCAAAATAATAACAATGGTTTTATTCAGTAGACTGAGTCGTCAGATGCACATTGCACAGAGAATAGTAGTGTATGTTACGAATCTTGCACATATTCACCGGTGTCTTGACTAGGGTTTTCTGAAGCACAGGATTGTGGGTTTTCTGAAAGGGAAGGTCAGGTTGTGTTTTCGCTGTCATCTTTGCTGCAAGCAAATACTTTCTCCGTGACGTTAAAAACAGGACCTGTCGATGTTAGTGACAGAAACATTGTTCAATTGTGTGTACATTGCTGGGGGGGCGAAGCTGTTCCTGCCTGTTTAATGGTGAACACGGCTTCACTTTCTCTAGCATACTAACACGTACAGTCGAGAGCGGCACGATTCCTCTTGAAAAGATCAGGATCTCGTATCAAACACTCATTCAATTTTGATCCACAGACAGCCGTTGTCATGAAACTGCTTTACAAACAGTCTCTCTTCTAACATTCTGTAGCCTATCATTATTTCTGTCTTACAATCATTCAGATTAAAAGTATATAGTTCAGAAATAAACACTGATGTCTACTGGAGTGATCAAAATAGAGCAAAAGTAACTTGATGCTTCAAATTAGGGATGTCACGGTACCAAAATTCCTGTAGTCGGTACGATACCATTAAAATGTTTCGGTTCTCGGTACCAATTTCGGTACCACAGCAAAATCAGTTTGAAGTATTTTTCCAATGTATTTAACTATTTTTTTAAAAAAGTTTGGGCTGACACAAAATAATATTGCGCAATATTCTTTAAAGTGAAAAAAAAAAAACAGGATGTCTATTTATCATATAGCTTGTGACAAAATTTCTATTATTATTATTAGCATTTCTGCTAACAGTTTACGATATGGTCTCATTAGTTAATATCACTAAATGCATTTACTAACAATGAGCAATTCCATTTTTTTAACAATATTTATTAATCCTTGTTGACGTTGACGTTACTTTTGATTTGAAACGTCTCAAATTCTGTTAATTTTATTATGAAATTCAAACAATAAAAACCATTTTGGCGCTCTTTAATGTGGCGGACGGATCGCTAAGTTGAACCATCATCTCTTCCTCTGATTACTTTGATTACTCTTCCACCGACTAGAAATAAATAAACTGGAAAGAGTATTTTGCATGCTTTAGAAGTGATGTTTGCTGTTACTTAACTAATGTAGTTAATTCAACTTTATAGTTAAACTAAAGGAAAATCTCAAATGTTGTTTTAGAAGTAAAATTATTTCAGTTAATGAAAACAAGAAAAGTGATTTATTCCCCTAAATCAAGGATCAAGTCAGTTTGGATAAAGCATCTGCAATTAAAGTGTACATTAATTCTGAAGGACACAGAATATCTGTGTGAGTCCTCACATGATTATAAGGTTATTGTCTATTAGTGTTCGTCCGTCTGTGACCGTCAGAACAGATCTTACTGTGGTCATTCAGAAAGGACGTCAATCAATCATTTTTAGACCACATTTCTGATAAAACACTATTTATATGTGTGTAATCCTGATTATATGTCCTCCTGAACACACGCTTCACAGAACTGGCAATCGATTCAGGAGAAAAGCTGATGAATGGATTTGATTAATTAATTTGTTTAAGTGTTTCCCAAAAGTGTGTGGAGAGAGAGAGAGAGAGAGAGAGAGAGAGAGAGAGAGAGAGAGAGAAAGAGAGAAAGGTATTTGTGTGTGTGTGTGTGTGTGTGAACACTTCTGGATTCTCTTCGGGTCTGGTCTGAACACCTCAGTGCTCTTCAGGTGTGTGTGTGTGTGTGTAGTTCAGGTTGATTGCTAATAAGTGTTTAATGAGAATGAGCAGTGATGATGTCAGAGTGATCATATGTGCTGAATTCGTTCGTTAGCTCTCATTATAATGAGCTCCACACACACACACACACTGTCCTGCTCTTCTCCAGCATCATCATTATCATCATAATGTGTCATATATGTATTTAATAATAATAAGATACATTATATATTGGTTTATAATAATGATAACAGGAAAGATGTTCAGTTAGGGGCCTGAAGTAAAGAATTACTAATACTTGTGTTACTCTACTTTAGCAGTTTTTATAAGAAATTGTACTTTAAAGCGTTAGTTCACCCAAACATGTAAACTCTGTCAGTAATTACAGAAATATAATAATTTGTGTTCGGAAGATGAACGAAAGTCTTATGGGAAACAACATGAGGGAGAGTATGTTGAAAAATGGTGTACTTTTACTTAAAGGGCTCATCGGATGCAAAATTCACTTTTACATGGTGTTATAAATGACATATATACGTGTGTGTGTGTGTGTGTGTGTGTGTGTGTGTGTGCAGTGAGTGGACACACCCACCAAACAATGAAAAAAAAAATCATGTCACTTAATTTTTTTAGTTCACTCAATAATCAAGCATTTGGATTTTCTGAGCACCATGATGTCATATTCATCTTGCTCCGCCCACAATTGCTGACAGACTGGCCCATATTAGCATATTTCCCATAATTAGCATATTTCCTGTATTGGCATATTTTCAATAATTAGCATATTTCCCATAATTAGCATATTTCCTGTATTAACATATTTTCAATAATTAGCATATTTCCTGTATTAGCATATTTCCCGTATTAGCATATTTCCCATAATTAGCATATTTCCTGTATTGGCATATTTCCAACAATTAGCATATTTACCATAATTAGCATATTTCCTGTATTAACATATTTCCAATAATTAGCATATTTCCTGTATTAGCATATTTCCCGTATTAGCATATTTCCCATAATTAGCATATTTCCTGTATTAGCATATTTCCCATAATTAGCATATTTCCTGTATTGGCATATTTTTAATAATTAGCATATTTCCCATAATTAGTATATTTCCTGTATTGGCATATTTCCAATAATTAGCATATTTCCTGTATTAGCATATTTCCCGTATTAGCATATTTCCCATAATTAGCATATTTCCTGTATTAACATATTTCCTGTATTAACATATTTCCAATAATTAGCATATTTCCTGTATTAGCATATTTCCCGTATTAGCATATTTCCCATAATTAGCATATTTCCTGTATTAGCATATTTCCCATAATTAGCATATTTCCTGTATTGGCATATTTCCCATAATTAGCATATTTCCTGTATTAGCATATTTCTCATAATTAGCATATTTCCTGTATTAGCATATTTCCAATAATTAGCATATTCCCCGTATTAGCATATTTACGCCCTCAGCCATTCAACATGAGGGGGAGGGGGCGTTGCTCATTATCATTTAAAGAGACATGCACTGAAACAGGTCTCTGTGAACAGCTGTTTTTGAGGAGGTAAAGTGTGTTTTATACAAATATTGAGGAATTTTAACCAAAGTTTATTTCAAACTTTACATGAAGACGCTAAAGAATCACACCAACGTGTGGAAATGGGCATCCGACGACCCCTTTAAGTGACGGATCTCAGTATCTGCAGTTATTCTCCCTCCGTTTGTGATCATTAGTGGGGATTTGCACTTTCAGAGAAACATTCATGATATATTCCAGGGTATTGGATTATATATTGTATATTGGATTTGTGAGTTAATAAAAATGTAACTAGTTCTTGAAGTAAAGATACTCGCATCACATCTGATGTCTTTAATCGTCACCGTTAATCTACAGTAGTCGACATCTAAAGTGGATCAGAACCTTTCATTAAAGTTATACATGAGTTTTGAACAATACCGTTCTTGTCTTAGAACAACTCTGATCAACTTTGATCCACTTGTGAGTGAATCTGCGCTCTGTTTTCATTATTCTAGTTCCTGAAGTCAGAACTTCCTGTTGACCCGCCTGGTGCATTCTGGGAAGGATTGTGGTTCTCGTCCTGGACCTGCACGGCATGTGAGTGGAAAAACACACGGCAAACGTCTTCTGTAAAAATATCTTACCTGAAGCAAGACTCAATCTGCAGATCTAAGGCAGGTATCCTGAAATAAATCACGATAAGAGGAATCTGGCCTGCAGCGAGAGTTATATGAACACCGCAAACACACGCAAACCAGTTTCTGTCCTGTCCTCCAGCACAAATACTGAAACATTCACATTCACTGGAGAACAACAATGACTTGATTACTGATCATTACTGAGATTATGCTTAAAACAAATACAGAATATCACAATAATCTTAATTCAAATTAAGGGAAAACAAGATTATTACTTTTTTTTTTTTTTAGGCATAAACACACGATTTCTTCTGAATATCTGAAGTGCAATAGACCTGCCACCAATAATGTGTTTCTTCGATATTCATTTTATGACCAATTTTTCATTTATTTAATAGTTTATTTGAAAGGTGATAGATGATAAAGTATAGATTTCAGCAACTACACACACACTCTCATGTTCTCCAACTGTTCCTCTCAGTCTCCCAGCCGGTTCCATCATCCTGGGTGTGTGTGTGTGTGTGAGTAATGCTTCACTGCCGGAGGAAGCGCTCATGCATCTCTTCTCTGAAGATTCCTCCTTGTTTGTTGCATATCTAAAATATTTCTGCCGCCGGCACACATTATTGTTTGACAACGCTGATTCGAGGAGGCGTTTCTTTTGTGTGATTAATCATTCAGGGCTCTTCCTTTAGCAAATGACCTTCCGGAAGCATTGCAGCATTAATCATTCCATCAGAACATCTGATCCGAACATCACATATAATATTATATATATACTATACTATATATAACAGTATATATTAACTAACCTTTATTGTGTCAAGCTCAACATTTACTTAAACATTTTAATATTCAATATTATTTAATACACTGTGAGCTAACATGAACATTTTTGTTAACAAAAGCTAAATAATGCTGCAAAATATATTGGTCATTATTAGTTTATGTTAGTAGTTAACAAATGAGACATTGTAAAGTGTTTAAATCAAAATAGCAAAATACTATTAGTATTTACTATACATTTTATATAATCAATATACTATAAAATACAATAAAACACAAATAATATTAATAAATAAAATTATATAATTTTTTTATATTATATAGTAATGAAACAATTGGTTGATTATTTCATTAGTTTGATTATTTCAATAAAGTAATTGGTTGATTATTTCATTTTCATTACTTAAAATACATGGATATTATAACAATGAGGCAATACAAATAAGTTCAGATAGAATAGAATAGAATAGAATAGAATAGAATAGAATAGAATAGAATAGAATAAATCTTTATTGTCCACCGGGGTGGACATTTTTCTTTGGCTCACCGCAACAGATAAAAACATACAAATAATTTCTCAGGCATAATAAAGAAAAATTTGTAAATTAAAAAAAAAAAAAAAAAAAAAAAACAGAAAAAGTATCAGAAATTATTTTATTGAACAACACTGTCAAAATACATAATGTAATAGACTTATTATAAACATCATTAACTTATGTGGTCTACATGATGAATTATAAGGAATGCCTGCAGAGGCGCCAGCGAACTGGTTATTATGGTTATGATTATGGTTATGACGTGATTATGGTTATTGTTACACTTTACAGCAGATCAAATCCTGGTTTAATATCTTCACGATAGATATACTACAGCCATCGTTATTCCTTGCATAAGAACATCAAAACTTGCAAACTTTTATTTTGAAATCGAGATGAACAACAGTTCGCATATTTAGAAATATTGATGTATTCTCCTGTGTGTGTGCGTGTAATGATTTGCGTTACACCCAGATGAACTTAATAAGGAACCCAAACATAGCAAATGCAGAGATGGAGTGTGTGTAGCGTGTGGAGTGTGTGTGTGTAGGGCTGTTGGAACGAATTCTGAAATTCAAATATAATTCGAATATTTAAAAATCAATACTATTCGAATACTAAAGTTACTATAAGAATATTGTTTTTTTTATGTATATTTTTATTTATTTATTATGCAATCTTGCCTTTCTCGCCGCCTTGGCTTACACTCATGTGATTAAATGCTTTTGTTTCTCTGATTAACAATATAGTTTTTGAACTATCCACGCTGTATCATCACAACTGTACTGTCAAAAATGGTAAATGTTTACTGAGATAAAAAAACGCCGTGAAGCGCAAGTCAAGAGCACCGAGCTCGTTGGAACCGTCTAGTCGAACTGAAAAGAACGATGTGGTGTTTTCGCAGAGATATTAGCAGAAAAACATCGAAAGCGCTTCAATATTCAGCACGAATAAAATGTTTATTGTAATGTTAGATGTCCCTCTAGAGGACAGAACGCGTAACAACAACCACATGGCGATCCATAAGCCTGAGTTATGTCGTAGATATTAATAATATGATGAATTTGAGCACATACTAGGCCTATTCAAATATTATTCAAATATTAAATGAAATAAATACTGTGTGAACTGAGCGCTGGGAGAAACATGTGACTCCACTCAATCGCAGCCATTGACTTTACAATAGCACTATGTTAAATTATGATTTTAAATGGTTTTAATAAATAATGCGCCATTTTCAGTATTTTAATCGTCAAGGCGAAGATTTTTTAAAATCGAGGATTTAATTGAGGAATCGTGACGGCCGTGTCAAAACGCAAGGATTGTTTTGTATCGAGTTCTATAAATACTATTAAAATTGGTTAACATTTAAATGTATGTTTATTTATAAAGCACATTTAATGCAACAGCTGTTGCCAAAAGTGCTTCACAATCATTAAAAAATACAAAAATAAGAATACAAAGAGAGAAATAAAGAATCATGCTCTAATGCATGTGCGTATGCTGAGGATCATGTCTTTGTCCTTCATAAGTCCTTCTTCCGTGTTGGATTGTGCCGGTCTGTTTAATAAGAAATAATAATTGGTGTGAGTCATAAGTAGGACACCTCGCAGCTTTATCTGTAAAGGAAGAGCTTCTGTGTGATGAATGTGAATATCGCTTCTATTATATCCATATTGCTGTTCCCGAACTGAGTCGTTTATCCTGAGATTGAGTTCATGGATGTGAAACGGCAGATCCCAGATATTTCCCATTCTATGCTTCCAGATTTGATGAGTTATTAAACTAAAACCAGAAAACACTTACTGTATGTACACTGTTAAAAAAATATGTTCATGATTTGTAATCACAACATTTTTTCTTTTGTCAAATCAACTTAACTTAATCATCTGAATTTATGTGGTTCAGATGACATAATCATAACCCCCCCCCCCATGTATGAATATATATACTATTAAGTTATAATAAAGTACATAATTATTATTATTAACCCATGTTTCAAAATGAGACTAACTCAGATCATGTTTGGTCTCCAGACTCACATGGAAGAAGCCGTCGCTGTTGAGAAACATCTGAGATCTTCTGAGAAACACTTGAGATGATCTGAGATCTTCTGAGAAACACCTGAGATCTTCTGAGAAACACTTGAGATGATCTGAGATCTTCTGAAACACCTGAGATCTTCTGAGAAACACTTGAGATGATCTGAGATCTTCTGAGAAACACCTGAGATCTTCTAAGATCTTCTGAGAAACACCTGAGATCTTCTGAGAAACACCTGAGATTTTCTAAGATCTTCTGAGAAACACCTGAGATCTTCTGAGAAACACCTGAGATCTTCTGAAAAACACTTGATGATCTGAGATCTTCTGAGAAACACTTGATATGATCTGAGATCTTCTGAGAAACACCTGAGATCTTCTAAGATCTTCTGAGAAACACATGAGATCTTCTGAGAAACACATGAGATGATCTGAGATCTTCTGAGAAACACCTGAGATCTTCTGAAAAAACACCTGAGATCTTCTGAGAAACACCTGAGATCTTCTAAGATCTTCTGAGAAACACATGAGATCTTCTGAGAAACACATGAGATGATCTGAGATCTTCTGAGAAACACCTGAGATCTTCTGAAAAACACCTGAGATCTTCTGAGAAACACCTGAGATTTTCAAAGAAACACTTGAGATGATCTGAGATCTTCTGAGAAACACTTCAGATGATCTGAGATCTTCTGAGAAACACCTGAGTTCTTCTCCTCCTCAGGACTCGCTGTCTCTGTGACGCACAATGCAGTCGCTTCACTTTTATAAACCGGTTGAACTGAAGGTGGAAGTTGCTCAGATGCAAACGAACCATTCTTTATTACACGAGTCGGTCGATTCCTTCCCAGTGTTGGCAATCTCACGGCGGAGAACTGTGCCTGAGGATCTATGAAGAGTCAGACGATCATGAGTGTGTGTTGTTCTTCTGAAGGGCTCGTCTGTGATCGTCTTTCCCGCACTGCGAGTGTGTGAGTGTGTTTCTGTCATGATGTGATGATGTAATGAATCTGGAGAGTCTTTCACTCTTAAAACGAATGGTTCAGTGGTTCTTGACTCAGTGTCTTAAATCCATAATACGGTAACGCTTTATTTAACGTCCCCTATAGTGAAAATCCAGCGTTTAATGTTGTTTATGTGTGTATGTGGTGTTTTTAATCCACTTTAACACACATCGTGTGTAAGTTGATAAGTGGACAGCATTGCTGAGTATTTCCTCCTTAAAACTGCAGTGAACCAAAGACAGTCTCAAAAACACGCTTTGGTGTTTCTGACGTCACAAACCACCTTGTAACCAGTCAGTGGATCTCTGAGTGAGTAGAGGCAGGGCTAATTTGCATATTCATAGACCCGAATGCTAAATGAGGCAAGGGTGTCGAGTTACATTTAAGATATTTTAAGGCCCCAAAATTTTTTTTTAAAGAAAAAAGTTTTAAATATGCCATTTTGGTGATCAGAGAGGCGTTTTACGGTATAAAATGATTGACTACAGGAGGACTTTAAAGCCTTTATGTGTAATGCATTATATAGGTATTCATAATGTGCATTATATCTTTTCATAAATAATTGCATCCAAAGTTAAAATATAATATTTGCAGATCTGATATTGGTTCTTTGTCATGTGTTTTAATGCTTTCTATGCAATGTAGTTAAGTATTATATCATGCATTATAATGGTGGGTAAAGTTAATCATGAGATCATATAAAGTGCATAATTAATGCATTAAAATGCATAATAATGCATTGTATATAAAGGCTTTAATACGCATAATACTCTAAACAGGTTATTTAATTTTTTTCTATTTAAATCATAAGTAATTAAAATGAAAATAAAGCTAAATGTTTTAATTAAAACTAAATTTTTAATTAAAACTAAACTTTTTTTTGTAGTGATGCAATAATAATAGAAAAAAGTTCTAAAAAGGTCTTAAAGATCCATATTTATAACAGTTGGATGATGGAACCATGTATGAAGCGGCTGACGGAACCCTTTAATGTTCCGTTAAGAACCTTTCGTTCCAAGAGTGTTTCTGATATCTGTCAGTCTTCTCGTTCTCATCTGGTTTATTCTGAATTTGTTGTATTCGAGCTGCAGAAAGAGTGTGTTTGTACTGCACTTAATTAACCAATACCACCTAAACCTCTTCTCATATTCACAGTCGACTCGTTTACTCGCATTCAAGGTCTTAGTGTGAATGATCCATCAGTCAGGTTCTGTCAAGTAAATATAATGTGTGTAAAAAAAAGTAGTAATTAAAACCACTCTAAACAATATGGACGAACCCAACCGTTGGGGTTAAATAATGAATTCAAAAAAGTAAACCAGCGGTTGGTTTTGTCCACATTTGACCCAAACTTGGGTTGAGTGTGTTATTTAGACTTTGCTTTTTCACAACGACTGTTGATTTGCATTTATTAATATTAATAACTGGAGTGATCAGTTCTTCCACTAAATGTGACTATAGAGACTTGCATCTGCGTTTGATTGACAGCATTATCAACAGGCTCGTCCAATCAGGATTCAGGATTCGTTTTAATAAGTTATGAACATGTCATGGTTTCATGTTCAGAACAGCTCATATTAAAAAAAAAGAAAGGTATGACTTTCTGAATCATATCAAAGCTGTTAGTTTAGAGCATTTGAGATTGATTTATTGAAGCCTCATTATTGATAATCTCGTTTTCTGATTGAGTTTATTAATCCCAGAGAGAATCCTTCCAACAATCCATGATGCTTCATTTCCTTGAGAAACTGGAGAGGAGAGTGACTGAAGCTGTTAAGCTCATATCCAAAGGATTTTTATTATATTACACACACACACACGATTCAAAGGACATGTACAGTTTTTTAAAGGTGGAGGATGCAAAATTATAATTCACCTAAACGTGTGATCACCCTCGTGACCCAAGTGTTTATTTTGTCTCAGTGTCGATGTGTGTGAAAGTCTAAGAAAGTGAAACACCAGGTGAATCTTGGAAGCTAAATGTTTTGAGGGGTTTTTTTCATAACTTTGCCTATAATAATAATAATGTCATTGTGTGTTTCCTCTGCTGTCGCCTCATTGTGTTGTATGAATGTTTATTTTTTTTTTTTTTAAGAAACCATGCGTTAAGGGTAGGCTAGCTCGTGCCAAATTTGAACCTTGGCTCTTTTCGTTTATCTACCCGCGTCAAACTTACGTGTAAAAGCATAATTAGAGGAATCGCCACTTTTAAGATTGACCATATTTTTGTTTGAGGTAAAAATGCCTTTTGAATGGGGCTATTATAGCATCAAAATCGCTGTTTTTAAAACACTAAGAAAGCTGGAAACAAAATAGAACTGTGCTCGAAGTATCACCAAGGCCTCTACACATGAACTTGAGCATTGAATTTATTGTTTGTGTACTAAAAAGAAAGGTTTTGTACTTTATCAATTTGTAGCCCCGCCCCTTTTCAGTGCTGCGCTCGTTGTCTTTTGACTTCTGGTCTGTATTTTGACAGCGATATTGCAAAGGTATGAATGCTCGTAAAAAATTTCCTGGTCGACATTTGTTCAGACATCTTTACAATGCTTATGATAAACATTACAATGCTCATGATAACTTTTGTTAATTCTAAAATAAGTAATTCCACTTCACCAGCTAATACTCCTCGACAGCGATGCCATAGAAATATACAGAGCGACCGCGAAACCGGAAGTTCAAAGACAATATTCTAAAGATGACGGCGCCCACGTTTCTCTGAATGCAACTTAATGAACTGACTCGCTCCATATGAGGAAATGTCTTGAACTTGTAATTTTACTAACTACAAAACAAAAACGTATAAGTGAATGTATAAATAAACAAGCTTTATGAGCTTTCCATCTTTATTCTCCTCATGTTACGTTGCATTCGGAGATCGACTACTTTTGACTAACGAAATTCCAGCCACCGGCGGAAACACCAACTGATAAAGTGAGTCGTACAAAACCTTTCTTTTTAGTAAACTTTGTGTACACAAACAATGAATTCAATGCTCAAGTTCACGTGTAGAGGCCCTGGTGATACTTCGAGCACAGTTTTATGTTGTGTAGAACTTTCTTAGTGTTTTAAAAACAGCGATTTTGACGCTGTCATTCATGATTCAAAAGGCATTTTTACCTCAAACGAAAATACGGTCAATCTAAAAGTGGCGTTTCCATTCTAGTTATGCTTTCACACGAAAGTTTGACTCGGGTAGATAAACAAAAAGTTCAATTTTGGCACAAGTTACCCTTTAAGCATAAGTCTGATTCAGGCCTCGTGTGATATTAATGTAGTGTTATTGAATATTGTGTACCCTGAAATCAGTGTTAATGTTTCATATGTTGTTGCTGAAGTCACGCGGTTTGTGTTCACGTTTCAGAAGCTCTTAAAACAACTTGCACTAAAAAAAAAGAGAGACATAAAAATCTAAATGCTTTTATGACTGATCTCATAACGTTATATGAAATGCACTTTAGGAAATATGATTTTTGATGACAGTGTGAATTTGCACAGGTTAATCTCACAATCCAGATCATATTTCATTCAAAATAAAAATAAAAAATCAAGTAAATCATTTGAAGCCTATTATTTATTTATTTATTATTAATATTGTTAAAAGTGTTTGTGTGTATATATACACACACAAACACTTTTAACAATAATAATAAATTATTATTATTATTATTATTACAGTAAACCGTGAGTACAGTGAATTGTGCTTAATGAAAATATGTCTCGAAGTAGAAATCATTTTTTATGTTCCTTTTTTCTTTGAATTTTGCAGTTTAATCGCCATGTTTTTGTGAGATTGATCCGTACATGTCGTTCACACTTGACATTTTCTGTTATTAAAATGAGTTCAGGCAGAATGAAAGACACATGAATTCACATCATAAAATACATGTGATTTGTTGGTTTAACTCACTATTTTCTGCAATAAAACATTTGAAATCTGTTCAGTGTTTAAACATCAAAATGCATATTTTTATGGATCCATATGTGACTTTCTGGAATATTTTACCAAAGCTAACAACATTTCACTTTAAATCAACCTTTCTAAGAATTATGCATCGCTGAATTATGGCATAAACAAATTTATGTTGTCACTGGGACAATGAATATGTCATTTAATGTGCTTTGTGTACTTAAGTCTTTATTACCCATGAGCCTCTTCTGAGCCTATTCACATGCAATAAGTGGTAAATATACCAACACTTGTTGTTGTTTTTCTCTGTGTTGAAAAAGTAAAGCCTCAATCATCCTGTCTAAATATTCCATATACACGTTTGCAATAATGACGATTATGACATGTACTGTTTCTTTAAGAAGCGCGTCCTCTGTTGCTCAGTCTGCGCGGCGCGCGCTTTCTGTAATTCACGCGCAATAAAAGTTATTGTGTTTCATACGACTTTGTAAGTTCTTCATACTTCACTTTAACTAAATATATTCTTAAAGCTAGTGATGTTTAATATTCAGAAGCAAAACGTGTGAGAATAAAGAAAAGTGTTTTCTATCAGATGTTGTCATTAGCGGTGCTCAGATGTGACCGCTTGACATGACTCAATTGTTAGATTTAATTTATTCGTTCATTTGACATTTACAAATAAAGCATCTAATCAATAAATACAATGTGTTACTGTTATCTGGGAGGATTTACACACATTTTTTGTCTATTTAAAGAGACACTTCACCCAAAAGTAAACATTTCACCCTCATTTATTCCCGAACTGACTGTATTATCTTTCCTCTTTAAAACAAACTCCAATTATATTTTTGTTTACAAACATTAATATTTAAATGAATATTTTTGTAAACTTTTGAAAATAATCTGTAACAATGATAAAAAAAGGTTGCCAGAACCTAACCGTATAAAAATACGGTAGCAACAGTTTTACAGCCTGAACTTAAATATAACTGAACTGTAATATTATAAATGTTATGTAATAGTAAAGTACAGATGAGAAGAAGAATCTAATAAATAAAGATGTAAATAATGTTCATTTCTGTGCTGAACTCTGTCTTTAAGATGTTGTTCCTCATCTAAAGAGTGTGTGTGTGTGTGTGATGATTCTGTCAGGCTGCGTTCCAAACCGCATACTTCCCTACTATTTAGTATGGGAAAAAGAGTAGGCGAGCAAAAAAGTATGAATGAATCCAAAAGAGTAGGCGAGAATTACCTGGGTGACGTAGTAATTGTCGCGAGATTCGGACTTAAGTGCGTTCCAATATGCCTACTTTCCTACTATATAGTAGGCGAAAACAGTACGTGAAGGAAGCAGTACGTTCCAAACATCAGTTTTCATAAAAAGAGTAGGCGAGAAGTTCCCGGATGGCTTACTGCTTCCGCCCAGATTTTTGAGTGCTTTTCCACGGCTACTCATGATACTCATCTATCCCAGGAGGCCACGCGAGAGGATACGTCAATGCACATAGCTTGCAAAACTGCCAATAAAAATCACAGAAGAAGAAGAAGAAGAAGAAGAAGAAGAGAGGATACGTCAATATCAACATCGCGGAGATAAGCGACGCGGGGGTTTTCAAATGTGAGTAAATACGGTTTAAAATCGTATGTGTTAAACTACTATAGAGTAAACGTTTTAACTGTTGAACGTCTAAAGGAGTTAGACAGTATAGTATAGTTGTGATTTTGCTGTAAACACATGTTTTATTATGTATTGATAACAGGGGAGCTCCAGTAACCGTAAAGTTACGTTTCCAACGTGTATTTACATAACCATACATCTTAAAAACGCTTATTTAAAATGTCTATTTACATCAGGAAGGAAAATATTGTATAAGTATTGCAGGTGAGCACATCCCAACATGAAAAATACATGTGTGTGCTATTATGTAGGATAATTCACTGTTGTCAACACTGCTTACATTAGACAAATTATGTGCTGTGAATAAAAACATATATAAAGTAACTAAACATGATGTATATTTAATTTGTCCCTTATTGGTGTTGATATATTGAGGAACATTTAAGTTGGATTAAAAGTGAGTTAACACATCAACCTCAACATGTAAATGCAGTGTTGAGCTCGTAATGTGAATCTTGTCTGTATGTTACAGGGACAGGAGAACACGCGTGTGTTTATCCAGTGGAGAGAGGCTCATGATGCTGAATGCTGTCATCAAAGAATGGGAACCGCTGTGTTGAGTCGGCAGTAGGGTTTGGGGTTCAGTGCCTGTAAATACATGCTTGTAGTTTGAATAAAGCTGTTTCATGTGTTGACTTGTATATGCATTTGTTTATTGTGATGGTTACTTTTATTTGTTCTTTTACTCATTTATTCATGTTTCTTATTGTTGTCAGTATATAAAATGTAATTAATTTATGCATTAATTCATCGATTGACTGACAATTGAGATGTTTCACTGCATTTAGCAATATAAATGAATTCATGCATTACTGTCATATTACAAAACAAATTACATTTGCTTGTTTTATTAAATTATATTTTTAGTATATAAAAAGTTATACAAGTATTGGTCAGCATTTAATATTATTATTTTGTTTAAGTTTTGGGGTGGGCTAACAATGAAATTCATTCTGAGGTAATATTAATTTTTTAAGCAGTGATACTTACATTTTTTGAGTATAAAATCAACAGTTTTCTCCAAAGAGATCTTCTAGCAGCTGCCCGTCTCCTTTGTGCAGACATTACAAGCGCTGTTCTAGGTTGTGCTGTGAAGTTACTGATGTTATGAAGTCTTAGAGCACCTGTCGCTCATATAATTTAAACTTATTATATGCAAGATCATGGAAAGATACTATAGTTTATGTAACAATCATAGTGACAAAACAGAAAATATAAAGATCATTGGTTTGTGTACATCATAATATGACATAAAATTATATTTATACACAGGAAATAAGAACAATAAAAAAGGCTAAATATCTTCATTATAGTTCTTTATAATACATAAAAAAAGTTGTTGTTATATCTGAGGGATGAAACGAGGTAAATTCATGAAGAAAAAGAGGAGAAACTTTTTGGGTATAAAATAAAGAAATTAACAACATAATCAAGAGATGATGATTTTGGGGTTTCTTAATAAAAAAAAATATCGTTAGAATAACACTGTTGTTCACATTAGTAGGGTTTAAAATATAACAACTTAAATCAACCCTAAATGTATTCACAAAATAAATAGGCAGCTGTTTCTTCAACAATACCACAACAAAATGAGCAAGTTTCATCAATATCAAGATATTATAGGTAGATTAATTAAACGTATCGTTCATATTTTTTTTTTATTGCATGAAGGTGTTGCGCTTCTGATAACGCGTAGAAGGTCACATGATAACGTCAACATGGCAGATGTCCGGTTCGCATTCATACTCAACGAGATTTGGCTATAAAGTACCTACTCTTTTAGCGCTCGATGAGTAAGTACTTATTGAAATTAAGTACCTACTCATTGAGTATGCGGTTTGGAACGCAGCCTCAGTGTTTGCAGGCCTCGGGCCGATGCTTGTTAATGTCAATCTCCTGACCTTCAGGCTTTAGCGTGTCACAGATTCTCTCTGTGTGTGTGTGTGTGTGTGTGTGTGTGTGTGTCTCTGTGCGTGCATGAGTGTGTGTCTTTCTTTATGCGTGCATGAGTGCGTGCGTGTCTCTCTTTCTCTGGAGTGCGTGAGTGTGTGTGTGTGTGACGCCACCGGCTCTGTCTGATGTTATTTATGTCTCCTGCTGTGAGAGATGCAGGTTAATAGCCTGTGGTACGCACATCATGGTGCGGGTCAAACTGATCACTACTTGATTTGATCATATTTACCAACAGTCACAAACAAATCAGGTTACAAAAGTTCTTAAAAGTCCCCCTTAAAAAATAAAAAAAAGTCCCCATGTGGGAAAATTCCAGTGTTTAATGTTGTTTATGTGTGTATGTTAATACGCTAAAAGTTAATAAGTGGACAGCATTGCCGAGTTAGCCTGACTACGTCTGACTTGCTACTTCCGCTAATTTCATTTCGCTCCCGTAGTCAGTCTGAGATAGCAGCATATCTTTCAGTTTTCCAGCGGCCAATCAGAGGGCGGGCTGAGGCTAAGCGCCGAGTTTTACATTGTAGGTTAGAGAAATCGAATGGGAAACGAGACACGGGTGCAATTCGCTCTGTTATGGAGAACATTTTTCAAGCTGAAGCCAGAACAAGAAGAGTGTTCGATAAACCTTTTAAATGGAGGTGATGTTTTGGGAAAAGTTAAATTGATCATTTATTACTAGGGTTGGGTATCGTTTGAATTTGAACGATTCTGATTCCGATTCCTTGTTTCGATTCCGGTTCCTAACGATTCTCGATTCCGATTCTTTTAAGAGGCATGGTCAAAAAAGTTTAGCTAACCTTGCTAACCAACGGTCTTTCTGAAGGAAATACTCCTGTCACAAATTTTGCATTTTGCCGAGATTTCGTTATTTTTAGAAAAGTGAAGCCACACTTTGGACCGCCGACGTAAGCTACTCATGTTCGACTCGTGCAGTTATGCCAACACTTCCGGTAGACGCTTCTTCGTTTCTTCTTCCGCTCGGCGGACTGTGAATATCGAAACCACGAATCGAAATTTTAACTTTTGAACGATTCCGGGAAAAACTAAAAGTTAGTCCCGGTTCCAATCGATACTCGATTCTCGATACCCAACCCTATTTATTACCGTTAGTTAGTTAGTTAGTTACGTCTGTCTACGAAGCAAAGTGAAGTAGCAGAGTCTGGCTAGAGAAACAAAGAACTGTGTTTAAAATATCTAATCCTAAGTTTGAGAGTTGGCAGCAAATATTTTCTTGTTTCACTCTGGCAAAAATTAGTTTAGAGGCCGTGATTGTACCGTGGATGCGTAGATTAACTTCGCATAATCGGCAAAAGTCGTTATTTCGCTCGCATCCTCAAGTGTTTACAGCAGCTTTACAGTGGAAGTTCGATCATAGATTTGAGTTCGATGGTTCGATGTGGCTGTGTCAGAAACTTATCTGATTGGCTTACGAGTTTTAGACTTCAAACAAGCGCCCCCTATAGCGAAAGAGAAACACTTCTCGATTATGCCATTCCAGACTCTGTCTACAAAGCAAAGTGAAGTTAATGTAGTTTTAATCCGCTTTAACACACACCGTGTGTAAGTTGATAAGTGTACAGCATTGCTGAGTATTTCCTCAGTGAACCAAAGACAGTCTCAAAAGCACGCTTTGGTGTTTCTGACGTCACAAACCACCTTGTAACCAATCAGATCAACGTGTGATCGTCAACCAGTTGATCTCTGAGTGAGTGAGTGGAGGCGGGCCTCATTTGCATATTCATAGATCCGCGCATACTAAATGAGGCAAGGGTATCGAGTTAGATTCAAGATATTTAAATGTTTAAACGTTTAAAAAAACGTTTAAATCTTATAATTTTTTACTTTTTAAGTAATAATTTAGTTTTTTATGTCATAATTTGGACTTTTTAAGTAATACTTTTGGTTTAGTAATTCAGTTTCAACTTTATAATAATAGACTTTTAAAGTCATAATTATATTTTTCAAGTAATTTTTGGTCAATGTAGTAAGAATTTAAACTTTTTATCATAAATTCGGCTTGAATTTTGTAAATGTGTCATTTTAGTGATCAGAGATGAGTTTTAAGGGATAAAATGATGGACTTTAGACATTCTACTAAATATAAGTAACTAAGACAGTAATACTGTGATATTTGACATGTGACGACATGTCTGTAAAGTGAGCTATTGAAATAAAGTATTACCAAAGTTAAAAATAGTAACAATAGTTTATAATATTCAGAGTTTGACAGTCAGAAAACAGTTGTTTAAAAAAAAAAAAAAAATTCTAATGTTTTGGTTTTTTTTTTGTGTGTATACATGTGATAAGTATTAATATTAAAGGTTTGCTGTATTTTTGTCATGACCATAAATGTGAAAAAGTCACAAAATTGTAAGAAAATCATAATAGGTGAACCTTAACCAGTATTTCCAACAATCAAACTGCCCCAAAACTCCACATATGAGGGTCATTATAACCGTTTATTCTTCTATCAGTCTGCAATCAAAATATCATCATGAATGCAAACATTTCTCATCACATGATCTGAGCAGCTCCACATTCGTTTGACAGATTTTTACTAATGAAATTATGTTCAACCAACAAACTTTAAGTTGATTACTCAAAAAAGAAAGAAAAAAAATGGATTGGAACTTGTTAATAATTTACTTTTTTATTATAGCGTGTTGGTAATTGTCTATTGTTCAATTCAGTGTTTTTGTCATGTTTTCCACCACAAAAATTTATAAACTCTTAAATCAAGGTACAGTTAAGCAAATGACTGAAGAAATTAAGAGTTGTTTAATGAAAAATACATCATAATTAATTGAGTTTATGCTTTAAACAAGAACAAATATGTGCCAGTGGAGTCAAGATTATTGACTTATTATTGTTGTTGTTTTTAGCATAAACTTAATATCTTCAGTCATATTGCTTCTCCAGTAAATGTATCTTGATTTAAGAATGTTTAGATATTTGTGCTGTAAAACGAGATATTCATATATTGAAGATTCGGATGTAGAATTCATAGTTTTTGCTTCAGTTTTCTGGTCAACATCACTAACCTGAAGATGCATTTAAACAATACGAGACATTTGCTGAAATAATAATGAGAAACACAGAAGCTTGCCGTTTAGTATTCACATACACACACACACACACACACACACACACACACACACACACACACACACAATGAGTGTTTCACACACACACACACACACAGGTTAATTACAGTCGTAATCAAGCATGTGATCAACACTCCTGAGCACCGGCGCGTGACTAATGCAGTTCAGATGAACGTCACACAATATAATCTTTCCCCAATCTTGAAATTAATCCGATTTATTAAAAAAAAATACAGTACAATAATAAAAATTATAATAATGTAAATAAGCTGTTTTCTACGTGAATATAGAGTAAAGTGTAATTTATTCCTGAATTTTCAGCACCATTACTCCTTCAGTGTCTTCAGTGACATATTTGACCATTTGACATATTTCAATATTTGACCCAAATTTGGGTTGAAACAACCCAGCATTTTTAGAGTGTGTGAATGTGGCCTTTATATTGATAATGAGTGTAACGTGCACATGTTTCCCGGCTCTGCTCTTCATCTTAAAGCATGTGCAGCAGATGTATTAAAGTTTCCTCTGTCAGTGGATTATGAGTGGATTATATATGAGCGTCAGAAGAGCTCATCCTCACCCGG